TTTTTTGATGAAACGTTGGGTATTAAAGGATGGTATTTGATGTCAAGTTTTATTATTTATTACACCAAGTTCAGTATACATCAAATGAATCACTGTACTACTAGTGGTATTGGTGATCTCATCAGAAAGTCTTCTGTGATTGGTTATTGCTGCCTGTTTTTTCTTTTTGGAATCACCACATTATAATGTGAGTGTATAATAAAGAAAACAGTCACATACCAAGTACTTGTCCCATTGTTCATGTCACAAAATTGTTTATCTTTTAACTCATTGATACTCAACGCCTGAAATAAAGATAAAAAATTCATATTATTAAAATGACATTAGCTGATTGCTAGTTCCTTAGATTAAAATGTTTGTTATATTCCTAGTCCATTTGTCCAAAATCATACAATACAGCTAACATTTGGGTATAAAAACAAAAGTTTACACCTACAAACTGTATTTAAATATACTTACATCTAAACTGTATTTAAATATACTGCCCCATTTTAACCAGCTTAACCAATCTGCCATAGAATTTAGATTAACTAATAAACCACTGAACAACTGAAATCAAATAGAAGTTGATATATTTTGTAAACACCACACCACAACTCAAACAAGTGGTTGCCTAGCAAGATACGTCCACTTTCCTCATACATTTTCAGTATATCAAGGGCAGTCACCAATCTGTGTCAAATCATACCAAAAATCTAATTTGTGCAAGATATTGTTGATTTAATCAAAGACACATTATTTAATAAAATTCTGACATAAACTGTAATAATAATAATAATAATGTGTATATTTATATAGCGCTAAACTCCACAAAAAAGTGTGCTCATAGCGCAAACAAAAAAGGTATAAAGACTAACAAGAGTCGAATAAAACAGTTTTTACTTTGTTCTTGAACATTTTGTGTGTTGGCAAGGATTTTAGACTTTCTGGAAACACAAGGAGGTTGTTCCAAACGTTGGTTGCGGCCAATGAAAAAGCAAGGAAACCATACGTTTTCATGCTATAGTTTGGCACTTGTACTAGATTTTTTTCAATAGATCTCAGATTTCGTGCAGGGACTTTCTTTGCAATAAGATCAGTCAGGTATTCTCGACCCATGTTTGAGGTAGTTTGGTAAGTCAAAGAGACGGTTTTATAATTGATCCGTTTCGATACTGGCAACCAATGGAGCTTTTTCAGAATTGGTGTAATATGGGCGTATTTTGGCGATTTTGTTACAATGCGGGCGGCGGTATTTTGGATTGATTGCAGTCTTGTTATATTGGAGGAAGATGTTTTAGAAAGGAGACTATTACAGTAGTCGATACGAGTTAATACCAATGAACAAACAAGTGTTGCTGCTATAGACTCAGTAATTAACTGTCTGATGCTTCCAGTGTTTCTGAGGTGATAATAGCATTTCTTACGGACGTCGTTCACTGTCACCTCTATCACCTACAAATTTTGATGAGTTTGTACTAAGTCAAGGGCAATCAAATTCCGTTGATCGAAAAATTGTCAAATTCAATCTTAACTAAGATCTCATCATTTTAAATGATCATACCAAATTTCATTTAAATAGGATGAAAACTGTTCTCTCTACTGTGTTCACAAACCAATTTTAATGCGTTTTTCATAAAGGGCAATAACTCAAAAACCGTTCATCGAAAGATAGCCAACTTCATACTTAAGACCGACGGACAGGGGCGACGACAATATACTACCATATATTCATGTGGGCGTATAAAAGTTGAAGCAAAGTGCCGAGAATAGTAGGTGCAAACAAGTATTACATGTATTACATAATTTTAACATATTTTGATTATTTCTGATAGGCTGACAGAGTTAATATAAAGTTAAAGTAGAACTATTGGTAAATTGACACAGTTCACCTCTCTTTTGCCAAACATCATGCCAATACTGGTATATTATATTAGACCTCCTCTCAAGGGGAAATTGAGATTGCATTTCACAGGATATTGAAAAATGTCTGGTTGACAAAAAATTAATTTGACAGCCCTGTATCACAAAATTGTGGCAACGTTTAAATCTTCTTATTTGTCAACTGTCAGTCTGAATACTGAAAGGTAATAACATAATGTATCTAGAATAATTGTTGTTATTAGACTCTTATTTGAACTAGAGCAATAATTAAGGTTCTTACCATCATAAAAACAAAACAAAGAGCAATCAGTAAATTAGCTATGGCCATCATCCTAACACTGGCACTAATAGCAAAAGCTAAACTTGATGCTGACAGAGTGGTTAAAAATAAATCTAACATGAAGAAAAAAAACTTTCCAACATCTGCTTCAAACCCTGAAAATACACAAGTCAAAAAATTTATCTGTTAGTCTCTGCATTGAAGACTCTTATTCAGATGCTTACAATGCATAAGCTTATAAATACAAGTTTTGTGCATCTATGTTAGACATTCACTGATGTGAAAGGATTACTCTTCTGTAAGTAGAATTTGATGAATATTCATTGCATTTTGTGTATGATGTAATAATTTTATCAGGAGAGGAAACCCTCGATAAACTTAAATGATAAACTGGAATTATTTTTGGGGTATTTAAAGGGGGCAGATGCACAATTCTGGGGGGGGGGGTTGATCTGAGTCAAATATGTAAATAATCTTCAGAAGTACTAGAAATGTATGAAAATTGCATAATTCCTTCAAAAAGATCTCAAACTAGGAGTTTTACTCACTATTTTTATATGTCTTTTTTATATATCACAGAGAATCTTAAAATTCGTTCACATTCAAATGCCGATAATTCTTGACACATGGATTTGAAGGCTCAAATTTCAATGGTGAGCTGTAAAAATTATTACTGATTGGCTTAGCTAAAAAATTCCTGTTTCTGAGACTAAAGTATGATAAGTCAGAAAGAATGGCGCACCTGTCCATTTAAGTTTTTTAGGTAAACCATTTTCGGAGAAATACATCATATTATTGTGTTAAGTGGACACAATATTTACAACTTAAACTTGTCCATCCTCCTTTGAAAGTTGAAGGGCAGAAGTTGCATGATCAACCAACATATAAGCAGGTGACTTACCGACCATCCAATACACAATAGATGAAAAGACAATGACTGGAATTAACCTCATTGGTATCACATCACAGAAAACTTTGGCCAGAAAATAGGCTGATACTCGATAAAAACCACTGACATTCTCATGTCTGAAAAACATACATCAACAAATTCATAGTGAGTAATCATAACATGTAAACGATACCTTTCCATACAATAACTTTATGTCCTGTAATAATAGTGGTATAAATAGAGGTTATCCTATGGCTGCAAGGGGATATGGTTTTTATGCCATGAGTGCTTGTGATATTTTCACAAGCACGAGTTTACCATTGGATAACCTATTTATCCGGTCAACTAAGTTGAAAATCGAAATAAATAATCCTTTCTCTGAAAGATGTTGGATATCCCGTACTCCCTTCTACCAATACTACAAATTTAGATGCGAGAAAGTCTGTTAGGTATCGAGTTTAGTCTTTTTTTCAGTGTTTTTGTTTCGTTTGCTTTTAATCATTTCTTCAACATCGACAGAGGCAAACCAAGCATACGCCATCTTTAGCGTTATTGACGTAAAATGTGCATGCGTTAAATGTCAGCCTTTGGACCAGCCCATCGAATACCGCCTGTTGAATACCATATTCATTCCACAGGCTATATTCAACAGGATACAAGAATATCAATTTTATCCGACCTAAACAAATGAGAAAAAAAAAATGGGATCTAGAATGCATTACAGACATAGTAAAATAGAAAAAAAACTCAGGTATAGGATAAAATATAATATACTTACATAAATATAGATCTCTCTTTAATAAACAACTCTATAGCAGATAAATTACCAAATACTTGATTCATAATGATGAAGAAAAATGCACCAACTCTGTAAGAATTTGAAAGTTATCAATAATAAAATAGAAACAAAGCCAAAAAAAAGAGTGTGTTACTGTTTGTACTAGCAGATATATATTGGAAGACTAACAGACAATAAATACACTAGACACATTTATCTGAAATAGTCCAAAACACAATGTTAAGATGTTCTTTTGTGACAAATTACAATGAATAATTATTTTATATTACATTCTGAATTCACTACTCTAATGTAACAGGACTGTAATGATCAGAACATGTGAGCATTTGAAGGACATCAAGTAATAATCAAATTCCTACATTCACCTGTTTTGTACTCCCGAAGTACTTGAATCATCAATTTGCCAATAAACAGCACCAACAATAACAGCAAATATAATCATAACAAAAATCTGCAAATAAAAAATACAATCGAAAAAAATATACAAAATTAATACAATCATAACAAATAATCACTTTCTTGAGAGAAAATATCTACAGACTAACAAATATATTAAGGCAAATCCAAATGTGATGAAAAAAACTATTACAATAGAGGCACTTTGCACAGAAAATTATTTAAAAGTATATTTTGTACAGTTTTACCTCACTTTAAAAGATCAATAAAAGTAAATCATTCAATCAATATGGATGGATTGAAACTTCTCTAGTATATCTGATGTAGAATAAATATTTTTACCTGTAAAATGGAACTTTGTGGATTTCTGAACAAGTTTCTTCCAGTTCTTAGAGAAACAACAAGAAGCTGTAATGAGAAAATTAGAAGATTATATATGAAGCATAAAAGAATTGTAAGTGCTCTGAGAAGAATGAAATGAAAATTATAGAAAAAAATTGTCAGGTTCTTGACAATAAGATGAGTGCCTTCTCAACTGTTTACAGATTAAATCTATTACAACGCCCGGGTCAACCATGAAATTGGTAGCATCTAGATCATCTGGATCAAGCAATTGGTGGTATTTATCAATCCCAGTCAACCAGATAAGCAGTCTGAGCCTTTCAATCAACTGTGGTAGACAGTCAACCTGAGGCGTCCATATTTACATACCTGCCAAGCAAAAGATGTTGCATAGGATATAGCAGGTTGTTTAACAACAGCATCATTTTCTACATTACGTTTATATTGTTGATGTATAGGATTGATTTCTTCCATTAACCTACAAAATATTATTAATATAATAAATCAATCCCCACTTTATTTTATTTTCATGGATTTCCGGAAATGATTAATAATTTACATGTGCGACCTCCGCATTAGCTTGTTTTGATAAACATGGGTTTTCTGTACAATATCAGCTAGTAGAATGAATCCAGTAGTTTCAAGCAAGGTAAAATGTATTAATGTATATTTTGACAAATACAAAATGGCGGATTTCAGTTATTACCAAACGTCACCATTTTTTATCAGCCGAATTTCCTTATAATCCCAAGCCGTAATCGAAATTCCAAGTGTCGTCTGCTAGAATGTAGTCCAACGAATGAAGTCACGTGATCAACTAGCGGATTCCGTGTCAGCAGAAAATTTCTATGGAACACAAAGTGGACCATATTCTTATGTTGTTTCAGTGACTTTTAGCAATAAATCACGCTACGTATCTTATTTTGTAAGTCACTATTTTTTTTTAAATCGTGGTTCTTTCAAGGAATTGTTACTAGTTATAATGAATTGATATTAAAGATAAATACTAAGAGAAGTTAATTATACCACACGGTATCCATACAACGTGTTTTTCTAGACTTACTTATAGATCAAACATTGTACACGAAAATAGGTGAGGCATTCTGCCGCCGTTCCCGAGTTGCTCATGAAATATGGGTCAAAGTGAAGGATTCATAAAGAAAATCGAAACAAACCAATTTTAATTAATTTGTAGAATATCTGAGGAAACATTTAATACATAAAAAAAAAATTCGTTTTTTTAACTTTGACGAAATTCGGTGTTGAATCCTTATATCCAGGAAAATAGGTTACACCACTGTAATAATCGTTAAACATATTTTACACTCACTTATTCCTCCATGTTGACTGTTGATATTTTTCTACTAATTTCTTGTGAATACTAGTATCTAAAATATCAATGAGTAACAATTAACAAATTCCTCTTTCAAACTTACTGTAATTTAATTAATATCTCTCTTGGGGGATAGCCAAAACCCTTCATGGTTAAATTAAGGAAAGTTAGGTATGAATGCATGCAAAGTTTGATAGTAGTCCAGCATCAAGATAGGAATATAGCAATTAACATAAAATACATCCTTAATTTCTCAGTGGTATAACAGAAAATAGAGTGATCATGTATGGATATATCAGAGGATATTAAAGGTTTTTCCTTCAATGCTAGGTTATCAAGACATGCTATACTTTACAGTTGTTGTTGTTTCTGAACGAATGGAAGATTCACGGAAATAATTACAAATGAAAAAGAGTTTAGTCCTACTTTGTACCTAATTGGCTAATGAAAACACCATGACTAAACTTTTTCCATGTTGGCCCTCCAGTCTGCATCACTGATGAGGGGAAAGAAGGTCAAAGTCCAAGATATTCTCTCGACCTATGCCAGAAACGAACCTTGGACCTTCTTGTAAGCAAGCTTGAAAATCACTGAGCCATTTGGACTCACATAAAAGTAGTATATGTCTTTTCGGATATGACGCATTTCACTTCTGCGCGTGCGCAGCTTTTTCATGCGTCATATCCGAAAAGACACAACTGTTAAAATGTATTATAACAGACTCCCCAAACTGTTAAAATGTATCATAACAGACTCCCCAAACTGTTAAAATGTATTATAACAGACTCCCCAGACTGTTAAAATGTATTATAACAGACTCCCCAAACTGTTAAAATGTATTATAACAGACTCCCCCAAACTGTTAAAATGTATTATAACAGACTCCCCCAAACTTAAAATGTATTATAACAGACTCCCCAAACTGCTAAAATGTATTATAACAGACTCCCCAAACTGTATTATAACAGACTCCATATAAATTACCCAAACCACAGACAAGAATCACTATAATAATACAGAATGAACTAACTGCATTAAAAAAAAAAGATGTCTTTAATTTTAAAACACAAACAAAAAAAATTTGAAGGAGACGGTTTCTTTTCTGCGCTAACATCTCTCATCCCCAAAGTGGCCAACTTTGTCTCAAACAAGAAATTTCCTCAGGAGTAGATATAAGCGATGCAGTGAAAAGATCTAACGAGTTGAACAACATATGAGAGAAATGCGAAATAAAAATTATTGGATAAAAACCTCAACTGATTAATGGGAGGTAACACTGTTTTTTTGTTTATACACAGTTGTCTAGAGTATTATTGATTTAATAAATTACCTTTAACGCCTAGTAACAGTCACTCGTCTGTTGTTCACTGGATATATGTCACGCTATAATTAACATATCACGCGTGCAACGTCAGCACAGACAGTCTAGACTCTCAACTGTTAGCCATGTTTTTGTTGAAGATTAGGAATTTAATCATACAAAAAATCAAGGTATGTTCTTTTTGTTTGATTTAATCATAAGACGACAGGGTGGAATTTAGATTAATTTGCTGTTTTATTCAAAATATCAATTTTTGTTTATTCCAGTTTAATAGATGCCAACATTTCATATCACGAAGAATATTTAAACCATCGGTAAGGGGATAGAAAAAGGCCAAGAATTTTTACCAAACTCTGTGACAAATATCCAAGGTTGTGGATACAGATTTTCAAAAATAGAACAAAGGATGACGAGCGATCCTAATAAGAGCGGTCTTAGTTATCTCCCGTCTTACACTATTGGCAGTCATAACTTAAAGGTCATGACCACTCTTATTAGAATCGCTCGTGACCTCATTTTTCAAACCGCTATTATTAGGATCGGTCGTGACATTTCATAAAGTGATTCATTTCTATCGCTTTCTCCTTGTATTAAATCTTTTGTATTAAAAATATATGGTGTTTATTTCATTATTGAACAAATATGTCTTTAATAAATGTCCATCCTCCTAAAAAGTTTTTCGGTGCGAGAGACATTCAAAAGTCATTGGGTTCCCATGGGCAAAATATCCCGGAGAAAAACATCTCCCAGGGCACAATTATACAGGTCCAGGCACTAGGTTAGATCTACGATTGGACGAAAATGATAATCCCAAACCAGGGGAAGAACCCGTTAATAGAGTTGACGCAGCAGCGCTCAAACACGACATACTGTACAGAAACAAAGACATAACATTCAGACACCAAGCAGACAAACAAATGATAGACGAACACGAAAATATTCCCTATGACACTTTCAAAGAGAAATTACAGTAGGCTCTTATCATAAAACTCTTGAAGGCAAAATTGAAATTGGGTATGGGCATAGCAGACGAGATTCACAAAGAATTTCGAAAAAACAAACATTACCTCAAAGTCAAAGTTTTTGATAAAGATGAAATTTGGTCAGCCGATTTAATCAGCTAATCAACATTTAATTAATGTCAGTCGAGAGAGGGTATAAGTATTGTTTGACGGTGATCGATATATACACGAGATACGCTTGGGTCTTTCCCTTGAAAAACAAATCGGGTCTGACTGTCAAACATTCGAAACCATAATGAAACAATCCGACAGACAACCCCTAAAGTTGTGGGTTGATAAAGGAAGCGAATTCTACAACAGAAATGTGAAATCTCTGGGGTTTGAAATTTACAGCACGCATAATGAAGGTAAGGCCGTAGTGATGGAAAGATTCAATAGGACTCTTAAAAGCAAATTATTCAAGAAATTCACGGAATTGAAATCTCAAAAATGGCTTAAAATATTACCAGTTGTTGTCGACGAATACAATAACAAAATACATTCGTCTATAGGTGTGACGCCAACGCAAGCCTCGAATAACCCTAATATCATAAAGTCTGTCAACACTCGAAACAACTTTGAAAACGAGATTAGCAATTTGAATATTAAACCCAAATTCAAAGTTGGAGATCGAGTTCGTATTTTTAAATACAAATCATTGTTTCAGAAAGGTTACGTCGGGTATTGGACTAACGAGATATTCATCGTTGATAAAATAAATAGCACATCACCTCCCACGTATGAATTGATCGATCAAGACAAAGAACAAATCATAGGAAGGTTTTATCAAAATGAACTTCAAAAAACTGACTTTTAAAAATGAATCTCGAAAATGAAGATTTAGATGAAAGATTAAGAAATTTGGATGTCGACAAGCATTTACGCTTTCTTAAATTAAGATTTTTTAAATTTAAATGTAAATTTATCTTCAAAATATTATTGAATGTGTTTCATCAGAATGTAATACAGGTTTTTTCAAACACAAACTACATATATATTTCGTCAATTGGGTCTTCAACAATACTTACCGCCTACTTCGAAAAACATAACACCTCAAAAAATCAACTTAAAAAAAAAACTGACTTTTAAAAATGAATGCATTTCTCGATAAATACGGAAAAGACACGACCACAAACTTCAACTTGTGAAATGGGCCAAGGAATTGAACGTCTCGCCGTTTTATTATTGCATGCGAGATGAAATTGATGAACTGAAATACAAGAAAGGTAAATTTTACGCCATCACAAACATTCATACGTCAGATCAAAAAGGAGTTCATCACTCTGCTCTACACAAAGATTCTTTGAATAACTTTTATTTCTTTGATTCTTTCGGTCTAGAACCGACAGAAGAGATAACGAAATTGACTAGCAAACCAATCAAATGTTCTACGTTTCAAATTCAAATGCCAGGACAAAAGCTGTGTGGACAGCTGTCGCTTTGGGTTTTATATCGGTTGAGTTTGGGAGAAAAGTTTGAAGAAATTATAATAAATTTAACTCAATAAAAATGGCAAACAAGTTTGGATTAGGGTCTTTACCTCTAGAATCTAAAAATCCCATAACGGCGTTTATAAACAAAGCGAAACCTTTTTTCGTGGATCAAATCGGAGACACCTTACAAGGGGATATTGATATGAACAATTTCAAAATAAGTAATATAAAGTTTCCAGGAAACGATAACGATGCCGTGAACAAGAAATATTTACTGGATCAAATTCAAATAGATAAGGACCATGTTGAAAATAGAATAACTGACGTGAAAAGATACCTCAGACGAAATATTAAAAATCTTGTGAACGAAACCAAACTA